CGGAACCCATAGATATCTACAACGTAAATGACGCTACCTATATTGAGATATGAGTTCTAGGGTCTCAGTATAGTTACAACGTCTGCCCCACCCTTCAAACCGAAACGGATTACTGCTTCACGGCAGAAACAGGGTGGTGGTATGAACTCGTGCGAACTCACAAGAGGTCCTCCCACCAGTGCAATAAATAGTGCAACAATAAATTTATTTTCTATTTTTTAGCTGGATTTTGTACAAAAGTGTATTTTTTTGTTTTTTTTTAACTATTATTTATTAATTATGGTGTTACAGTTTAATATCAACATGTGAATAATAAGATATTAATTTGTAGCGGTTGAATTAGGCTTTGTTAATATTGTGGAAGAGATGTTAAAAGTTCCAACAAAAATCGCTAATCCTGATTATCCTAGTGAAGATAAGTGGTTTAACTGCTTAAAATATTGAATTGTCATCGGTCCTTGTTAACTATGCCAAATTTCGAGTTAATCCGACGTTTTGGAGGGGGTCGAAATAAAGTTCAAAGTTTCGGTTAAATACATCCGTACTAGCATACGTATGAAGCTAATAAAAGTATGTTAAAAATGGTCTTATAGTAATCTAATCTTAATAGGTAAAATAATTTGGAATTTTTGATATTTCGAAAGTTAATATCCCGTGTTAATATAGCATATCAGTTTCTAATTTACGAATCTTTGTGACTGGTACCCGGGATTGCTTTGCCGAAACAAACTGTAATGTACTTCTGACTCTGATGATTATTTATTAAGTATTAAAGCTCAGGCTCATGATTACAATGTTTCGATCCATTCGGATGTCTTTATTTATCATTTTCGGTCTGTCTATCTTCTAGTTTAAGGAAAATGCGAAAATGTTTTGTTATTGGTCAAGGAAAAGTCTGATGTGACAGCATGAATGTGATGAATGGATTCGTCTGGGTCGTTATCGTAACTTTCAGTTTTGGAGAGAATAAATAAATATAAAATCATATTCTTGAACGCGACTCTATCTTTTGTTCGAAGATTGGACTTGTTGGGATTTGTCAAATCTAATTTTTAACGAACCTATATGTAAAAAGTGTAACGACCTAGGTAACCTAACCTAGGTAAGTCCTCCGTTGAGAAGTCTCTAAATGATGTAGCTTGTTTAAAATCTACTGAAAAAAAATTAAAATATAATAATAATAAATAAAATTTACTGTTGGTCTGTCTTTGGATTACTGCTGTCAAAGAGAGAAGCTCATTTTTGCTATGCAATTTTAAAATGTTAATATTGATTAGTCGATATCTAATCTCTGTCAACAATAAAGAATAAATATGAAAAAGAAAGAAAATATAGGTATCAGGTGGTTAGCAGTTTCAAGAATTCGATGTTTTTTAAATACAATTACTAAAAGCACGCTAGTAGTGTGCTTAGTGTGAGTTTTTTAACGTTCTCGATAGCGTAAAAGTTAACACAAATTTGTATGCAGTTGGAACAGCGCCCCTAGCGGAAAACGTAGGCAAACGTTTCAACTCTATACAAATTTGATTTAACTTTTACGCTATCGAGAATGATAAAAAAACCCGCACTAAGCGCACAGAGCGTGACCCGGTTACACTAGTATATCATAAACAATTGTGTTCAGTACGAAACATTTTTATTTTCGTTCTTCGAGGCATTTTCTTAATGTTTCGAGGTCAATTTCCCTGTCCGGCACTGTATAAAGGTGAAATAAAACATTAATTGCTGTCAGTGCGTCGGGGGCGAGACAAAAGGCGGATATTTTTTTTCGTTCGTATTGTACGAGCTGGCCCAGCGTCACGGTGAGCGACCACGGCCCTCGAACGACCCAAATGCTAATCGATATAATGTCTGAGCAACCATAAGTCGAGCGAAAATGTTGACGCTCTTCTACAGACGTAACGTTATCTCGCTGTTACGTGAATAGTACGGAACATTGACTAGAGTTAACAAGCGTTGCTTTGTTCCGATATATGTATATAGAATTTTGTCATAAGTCACCGTAATCTATCTATATACGTGAATCAAAAACTTTGTACCACTTTTTACGAAAAATGCGCGGACGGAGGAGTATGAAATTTCCCACACTTATAGAGAATATAGAGAAGGAGTGCAGAATGTTAATATTTTTTTAAATTAGGAATAAAAAATACATCAAATCAATAAAAATAACATTACACACACCACTACCATGTATTTGACACGCACACGCATGCATACTATTTGTTTATTGTCAAACTTTTCTTATTGCTTATAATCTGTGGTCAAATTGAGAATAGATTAAATATTGTTTGTCTTTATTAATATTTGTCTAAAGTGTAGTCTTGGCGAAATCTGTGGTTATAGAAGTACAAAAGAACCTTAATAGTGTACAAACTTATAATTTCAATTAATTATAGTTGAATTTCGACTACTGGGGGACCACTAGTATACATAAAAATGAATTGCTGTTCGTTAGTCTTGCTGAAACTCGAGAGCGGCTGGACCGATTTGGGTAATTTTGGTTTTGAATTATTTGTGAAAGTCCCGAGAAGGTTTAAAAGGTAAATAAATATGAAAATGCTCGGAGTTAAATAAATAAAAATAACAATTTTGTTTTTCCTCTGATGTGTCCCCCCCGTTGGATGGATTCCTTTTGTTTGTTTTAAGTTTATTTTATACAAAAGTTTAGGTCTTTTATTTATCGACTGAAGCACTACGAAGTCTGCCGGGTCAGCTAGTACGAGATAAAAATTATACACGCAGAGCCCGAAAAACAAATAACTTCAACATTCCTACACCAGTACTGTAGCTATTACATTAAATTTCATCAAAGATTCCAATTATTTAACTGTCAAACTGAATAAGTACACGATTTTACTTAGTTACGTTCCGCTTACCCTGAATCATGAGCGTGAAACAAACCTTCGCCTAACAGCAAAATTTTGACTACAAATACATTAGGCTACGCAGTTCGTGTATTAATAATGTGACATTAGTTATGGTCTTGTTACGAAAGGCTCTGTCGACTGTCGTGTGAAATACGTGTATTTGTTGAATATAATTTTGAAGTGGATATATGTTTTCTTAAAAAAAAAAACGTCTAATCTAAGTTGAACTATTTAATATTGAAATTGTTTAAATTATTAGTGGTGGTAGGACCTCTTGTGAGTCCGCACGGGTAGGTACCACCACTCCGCCTATTTCTGCCGTGAAGCAGTAATGCGTTTCGGTTTGAAGGGTGGGGCAGCCGTTGTAACTATACTGAGACCTTAGAACTTATATCTCAAGGTGGCTGGCGCATTTACGTTGTAGATGTCTATGGGCTCCGGTAAGCGATAAATAAACAAAACTTGAGAAAAGCTTAGGTTGTTGCTTAAATTGTATGTACATTAATAGGATAATTCAAGGAAAATTGTAAAATAAATTGATAAAGATATATAAACAAATAGTTAGGAGTTATATACGTTTTCAGTACCGCTGCCGTATGCGTGAGAGAGAAAGGGAAACTAGATAGACTGACGCCGTAACGCGTTACGTAACGAAGCGGATTACCCTCCTATAAGAAGTTATCACTTCATATATTACAGGTAATTTATTGGAACATAATTCCTAGTACTAAACTGACAGATATAGTATATACGGATCCCCATCGAAAATAACACCGTATTTATCTATTTCTATTTAAAAATACCATTATATCCACATTGATATGGTGTATATATATAAGTATATAGTGCACAGACAGGTTAATTTTTAAATAGGCAAAGACAAAACATTTAATTACCATAACTAAATTTTACAGTCTAATCAATTTTACAGTTTTTATGGTCAATATATTATTTTCGTCGGATACTTTGTCGATAATTGAATATTGTGGTAACTCCCGTTTATTTTATCTCCCCAAAAAAAAAGAAAGAAAATATAAAATCGTGTAACACTGCATAGTCTATTATGTAAGAGACATAATCGGGTTGTAAAATTGCGTTTAGCGCGGTGTCCTTAGTTATAAAACTCTGTTGCTTCTTTGACGTTTATTCGCCAACATAAAAATGTTTAAAGCGATGCGCTTGTGAGATACACGGTACAGATGTGGCTGAGCCGTCACTAAAAGATGTTTCACCTTCAACATCTCGAAATACGATAACTTATTGAGGACCACTTGGTTTTTTTTCGAGCTGGGGTCGAACCTCTTACCATGTCCGCGCCTAGGGGGCGCGCGGTTTATGTGGGAGCATGACGATCTGCTGATGTTGGGAGCAGATCTGCTGATGTTGGGGCCCAAGGAGTTTTAGGGCTCTACCGCACTAAACGAATCCCCTGCACTCTTACACCCGACGTCCGATCTCCGTCCGGGGTCAAAACCCGGTCAGAGTAGGGGGGGTCCCGCGGTAAACACTATAAGCAGACTGGCGGCGCCAGCCCGAGAACGCCCGACCCACGGGTCGTTGAGACGATAGTCGACGGCCAACAACGCCGGTCTCCGCGGTACGGTGGCCCTACCAGGCCACGCGGGCGACGCCACTGGTGTTCTGGGATACCCCGCTGGGCCAGAACCAGCCTGCTGGGTTGGAACGCGATACAGCGCCAACCGAGATGAGGACCACTACTAGCCCAACTAGTTCATGTAAAGTGTTATTAAAACGCTAACAGTCGGCGGTTAATGGCAGGGCCCTGAAACTGCGTTACTTCAAGACAAATAATTTTTGTTGTATGGAAACTAGCGACATCTTGTAGCGGATGCCCCTAAACATATAATGGCATGAAGTCATTAGGTTGTCGCAAGAATATGAAAAAAACAAAATGAGAAGGTAGGTAGGTAGGAAGGTAGTTTAGCGCGAAATTAAACTCTCCCATTCGTAATGCAGCCAATATTTCTGTAAGAATGACATGCGGGAATGGTTAGATTTCTGAATAGTCTTATGGATTTTATGTTTTAATATATAAAATTGCATTTTGTTACGGGCGAAACCGCGAGCGCGGCTAGTATGAATATGAAAGAGACAGAAACAAAAGCTTACCGTCTTGTTTAACCGTGTTCCCGAGAGGTCCACAGCTCGCCAGCCACACGTAGAGGATCCATCTAAGCATCAGACCGAACCCGCCGCGCTGCAGCTCCGGCTGGTTGTGGAAGTGCCTCGCGGTCGGTCTATACCTGGCGGTGCTCGGACGCGCCATGACGAACTCGAACTGTATACCGCAACGTGAACTTGCATTGAGTTCACCGGTGGAATCCAACTAAACGGTTTACTTCGGCGACGCAAAACGCATTGTTCGTTTTAGATGCTTTTGAAAAGAAATTCGTTGTGTTGTCAACATCAAGTTAAGTGGTTAAATTGTTACTGTATTAAACTTATTCGTTATTTTTATAGCTTTAGATGGACATTACATGTAATGCTGGATGATATTTTTGGCTACAGAATGTCAGAGCCTCAATGGCCGTTCCATAAGATAACGAAATGGTACACGTAACATCAGGTAGACTTTGAGTTCGTCCGTCTATCTCTAAGTCAACACAAATAAGGACTTTGTTCTCCGGTCACGGTAGTTATAATTGATTCCTCGTGTTTAAAAAAGTATGTAGTTTAAAAGAAATTTCATTTAAATGCATGCAATAATATAATTCAAAATGCATTAAAGTTTCTTGTCCTTAACACGTCATTACGGATCCTCCCGATTCATTAACGGGGCTTTTAGGTACCACAAGCACCGGTCATCGTCCTCGCCGAGCCCGTCGCTTGCGACAAAGGGCTCGACGAGTGAATTAACCCATAGACACAGCCCACTGAGTTTCTCGCCGGATCTTCTCAGTGGGTCGCGTTTCCGATCCGGTGGTAGATTCTGTGAAGCACTGCTCTTGCTAGGGCCAGTGTTAGCAACTCTCCCGGTTTGAACTCCGCGAGCTCACCTACACGTTAGGGTGAAGCTGAAATAGCCTCTCAAGGCTATCAGCATAGGTAGGGAAAAGAAGAAAAAAATCTTTAAATTTTAAATGCTAAAAATATAGTTTCTCTCGACAACCCAGGTCACATGAAACTATGAACGGATCTATATAAAAGCCAATTATGCGTACCTACATAAGGTAAGTAGAGAAATTCGATTTTAAGCTTTAATGTTGCGATTAACTATTTTGATGGTTAAATTTCGCATTCGTTTTTGAAGTAATTATATTACCTAGTCAGGTCATAAGTATTGTCACACAGTAAAAACTTTTCTTTTAGAATGCTGGCCACAAAAAAGTTTATTGAATTCGAATTTAGAATTGTTCATGAAAATAAAAATGTATACTCTTAGAATTTTACTCATTTTTAAATATGGAGTGGACGCTAAAGAAGACCGTGTTGCAGTTATTGCGTTGCATCGTTGCGGTTACGCGCCAATTCAAATTTTTAACATACTGAAAAATTTGAATATAACCAAAAGATTCGTTTATCGTACCATCAAACGATACAATGAAGACTCTAGTGTAGATGACAGGTCAAGAAGTGGTCGCCCTCGGTCTGTTAGGACTCCAGCAGTGATAAAAGCTGTGAAGGCGCGAATTCAAAGAAATCCCAAACGTAAGCAGAAACTGTTGGCCCTTCAGATGGGGTTAAGCAGAACCACGGTGAAAAGGGTGTTAAATGAAGACTTAGGGCTTCGGGCATATCGAAGAAAAACAGGACATCGTTTGAATGCTCGTCTAATGGACCTGAGACTGAAGAGATGCCGCGCTTTGTTGAAGCGGTACGCGGGAAAAAAATATCGGGAAATTCTTTTTTCGGATGAAAAAATTTTTACCGTAGAAGAGAGCTACAACAAACAAAATGATAAGGTGTACGCACACAGTAGTGAAGAAGCGAGCAACCGTATTCCGCGTGTCCAACGAGGTCATTTTCCATCCTCGCTCATGGTATGGTTGGGAGTTTCTTATTGGGGCTTAACAGAGGTACATTTTTGTGAGAAAGGTGTAAAAACGAATGCAGTTGTGTATCAAAATACAGTCCTGACGAACCTTGTGGAACCTGTTTCTCATACCATGTTCAATAACAGGCACTGGGTATTCCAACAAGATTCGGCGCCAGCTCATAGAGCGAAGAGCACACAAGACTGGCTGGCGGCGCGTGAAATCGACTTCATCCGGCACGAAGACTGGCCCTCCTCCAGTCCAGATTTGAATCCGTTAGATTACAAGATATGGCAACACTTGGAGGAAAAGGCGTGCTCAAAGCCTCATCCCAATTTGGAGTCACTCAAGACATCCTTGATTAAGGCAGCCGCCGATATTGACATGGACCTCGTTCGTGCTGCGATAGACGACTGGCCGCGCAGATTGAAGGCCTGTATTTAAAATCACGGAGGTCATTTTGAATAAACTTTAGTGTCATAAGAATCTATGTTTTGTTAAGTTCATTTTGGTATATGAATGGTTACATAATGAATAAACTTGTTTCAATTATTTTACATCAAACATGTGACAGAATTTATGACCTGACTAGGTATTTCCGACCTGTCAAATAGGTACTTTACAGTTTTCGTGGTCACGGAAGACTGTCGTCCGTAAAAATACTTTTAGTTATGCTTACGACTGACGAAAACCAATAAAAATACTTTAATGTTGAGATATGAAATGATGAAAGGCGATTGCATGCAGCAGAGATACGAATGTTGCGATGGATGTGTGGAGTAACGAGAATGAATAGAATACGGAATGAATGTGTTCGAGGAAGTCTGAAAGTAGCACCTGTGACAGAGAAGCTGAGGAGTGCGCGTTTGGGATGGTATGGACATGTGATGAGACGAGATGAAAATGAGGTTGGTAAGAAAATGTTAACTATGAGCGTGGAAGGATAGAGAGGAAGAGGTAGACCTGAGAAGAAATTGATGGATTGCGTAAAATACGATATGGGTAAGAGGGGAGTGAGCGAAGAAATGGTATATGATAGAAGAGTATGGAAGGTGAAAACACGTTGCGCCGACCCCAGGTAACTGGGAGAAAGGCAGGATAATGATGATGATATTATCCTGGTAATCCAATATTCCTAGATACTGGAATACGAAAATTATATTGTATTTATGTACAATTTAATTATGTAAGCAATTCTAGCATAAGCTAACCACAATTCGGTGTGTCGAAATGAATTACTCAATTAACACTTCAAAGGTGGTAAATTATTTTGTGGGTAAGTTTGAGTTACTCGAGCGTTTTTTCTTGAAGGTCAAACACTGAAGCCTCACCTTTGAGGTGACCTCAATAAATCAGAAGCTAAAACTGATCGTCGCGATAAACCGGCTGTTTAAGTCACTGCGGTGAGTGCCCTTGATTGCTTTTGAGGCGTGAAATATTGGAAAGTGGTACGGGGCTTATTTTTTTCTTATATTTATATTTGTACTAGTTGACCCGGCAGACTTCGTAGTGCGCTAATCGATAAATAAAACACCTAAACTTTTGTATAAAATAAACTTAAAACAAACAAAAGGAATCCGTCCGACGATGGGCGCATCAAAGGAAAAACAAAATTGACATTTTTATTTAATTTTGAGCATTTTCATAGTATTTATCTACTTTTTAAACCTTCTTTGGACTTCCACAAATAATTCAAGACCAAAATTAGCCAAATCAGTCCAGCCGTTCTAGAGTTTTAGCGAGACTAACGAACAGCAATTCATTTTTATATACATACTAGCGGACCCGGCGAACTTTGTTCCGCCACACGGTTTGTTTCAAACACATGAACCGGTCAACTTCAAAATTCTACTATAATTAACCGTAGAACGATTAGCTTTCAGTTGCGTTTTGTTATACCACGTTTCATGTCACGTTCCGCGGGAACGAGATAAAAAGTATCCTATATCCTTCTCCTGGTTCTAAGCTACCTCCTCACCAATTTTCAGCCAAATCAGTTCAGCCGTTCTTGAGCTATAAATAGTGTAACTAACACGACTTTCTTTTATATATATAGATATATATAGAAGATACTATAGTTGTATTTTTATCTCTGAATGTAGAATTTTGTATTAAGACCTGTTCTCTTTTCAGACCTCGTTTCAAAAAGAACACAAGATAGAGCTCTGAAAATACCGTGGAAGAAGTTCATTCAAGTGTTAGATGGCCTATACTTCGGTAGCGAATGGTACAATGACAAGAAACAGATGAAGGAATCTTAATAAACATTTTCACAAAGCATCTCAGGATTGAAATGTAATACAATACAGAGCCCTTTCGTACGCCCAGAGATTCTCAACGAGTTTCTAGTAATAACTTAAAACTGAATGAGGATACAAATTTAACAACACACATAATGTAAAATTATATTAGTGGGTTTTTGTTTACTTTTTCATAAAAATCTAGTCTGAACAGCGAATCAAAATTGAAATCTTCACAGAAATAAGCTAGTTATAAAATACAATAAAAAAAAGTTATTTATGATTCAGCTTCATAGAGAACGAACTCTGTACATATATTGATTATGATGTCATCTACCAAAGTTCGTTTTAGGGAAATAAGACAGAGCAGCTTCTATCAATTCCGACCAAAGATCTTAAATAGCTACATGTATTTCGGATATAATTAATATAAAATTAATTATTCCTAGAACACGAGTATCACATTACATTATATTCTTCATTAAGAAATAAATTCAATCTTTTTTTTTTCTACCTAAGCTATCAAGCCTTGAGAGACTATTTCAGCGTAGCCTTAGCTACTAGGTGAGCTCACGGAGCTCAAACCGGAGTATGGCTAACACTGACCCTAGCAAGAGCAGTGCTTCGCAGAATCTACCACCGGATCGGAAACGCGACCCACTGAGAAGACCCGGCGAGAAATTCAGTGGGCTGTGTCTATGGATTAATTCACTAGTCGAGCCCTTCGTCGCAAGCGGCGGGTTCGACGACTGTGACCGGTGATCGTGGTACCTAAAAGCACCGTTAATGGATCGGGAGGATCCGTAATGACGTGTTTTGGGCGACGTCGACTGTTTACCATTCGGTCTACAGGATCGGGTATGTTCAATCTTCATGTCCATAGAACAATATGAAATGTAACGGTAGAGAGATAAATCAGTACTAAGTATGTAGCGGTAGCTATCATATAATGGAAGAAATCCGCCGAAATTCTGATAAAAATCAAACCGATAAAATTATAATTCGCGTAATTACTGATAGTAGGGCGTGTTGTGAATCCGCACGGGTAGGTACCATCACTCCGCCTATTTCTTCCGTGAAGCAGTAATGCGTTTCGGATTGAAGAACTCAGATCTCAAAGTGGCATTTATGTTGTTAATGTCTATTGGCTTTGGTAACCA